AACCTGAATCAGGTAAAAGAGTGACATTAAATAAAATGGAAAGTTTGTGTCACTCTCAAAGTAAATTACCAAGAGTTGTTTACCTTCAAGCACAAAATGGGTGAAGAATGTCAATCTGTTTTGCATAAATGTCCACTCAATACTATTTTCAAAATTTCCCCTGTATTTGTGGATTGCCTGGAACTCAAAAGATCAATCCATCATCAGTACAAATGAAAATGAAACATACCAAGTATCCCAATGTATTTTTGGTTAGATAATGATCTTTGATTGTTTGAATTGACTCAGGATATAATCGTGGAATATAATCAACAAATTAGCCAACTCAGTGCCTTTGTTATTTATTTTAGACATGCACCTCAGTTGCTCCCTCCCAAAAGTCTAAGCCTCATGTTGGGACATGGTTCATAGATACTGGGTGACTTTTAGTACCTCAGTCCAAAATCCAGTTATCACATCAAGTCCGATCATAATTGCGTTCAGGCACATTCTTGCAAGTGTGACAGACAGTAATCGGAGGCCAAATTCCACCTTGTTTTAGCCAGTAAGACAATTTTTCCTTCACATTTAAGAAGATCATGTAGAATTGTGGATAATTCTTAAATTCAGCATTAATTTTGGAAATTGTTTTTCTGCTTCCATTTTCTTCAGTGGAGTCCTGTGGTTTAGTGGTTAGAGCAATCGCCTCGTAAGCGAGAGGACCTGGGTTCGATTCCCAGCAGGGCGAAATGTTGGGCAAGTTTCCTTACTCCACACACCTCTGTTTACGTAGTAGCAAGCAGGAACCCAGTTGTTAGTCGATTGGCAGATCGCTTTTCTAGGGGTAATAATTCCTTAAAAATATATTTTTAAAATAATAATTTGGTCACTCAATTCACGACTGTTTGTGGGATACTGCTATGTGCAATCGGCTGCCACATTTGGCCCACAAGATATACAATTCACTTTACAGTATATTCTGTGAAGCGTTTTGAGACGTCTCGAAGACGTGATAAGGCGCTGTATCAAATGTAAAGATTATTATTCTGTTATAGGACCCTGCCTGGGCCAGTTCCACTATTTGATGCACAGAATGTTGAAGCTCTGTGAACCGATTATCCCATCCTTGCCTGACTGCATTGGCTCCCCATTCCTCATAGGATCAAATTTAAAATTCTCATCCTCACTTTCAAAGCCCTCCATGGCCTTGCTCCTCCCTACCTCTACGACCTATTAACACCATATCAACCTGTCCGCTCCCTTCATTCGGCAGGCACTAGCATGCTTTTTTGTACTCCGTCCTACACACTTCACCATCGGTCGGGCCTTCAAATTTTCTACCCCCACGCTCTGGAACTCCATCCCAGAATCCCTCCCTTACCTCCTTCAAGGCCTGTATCAAGACTTTACTCTTTGATTGTGCTTTCTGTCACCATTCTCATAAAATGGGTGGGGAAAATCAGTTACTTAGTTTACCAATACTTTAACATGAGCTAACTCAATGCAAAGCAGCATTAGTAGCCAATTCTTTGGGGCTGGTGTTGGCATGGGGTGGGTGGGGTGAGAGCAGAACTTTGTTTTTAAAATAATTAAGATATATTTTGGAGTCCTGTAGCTCAGTGGTTAGAGCACTCGCTTTGCAAGCGAGAGACCTGAGTTCAATTCCAGGCAGGGCGAAACCTCGAGCAAGTTTCCTTACTCCACACGCCTAATAATGATCCCTCCAAAAAACCAAAAACAATAATAAGATTGGTAATTTTCAATCTACGGCTGTTTGTGGGACATTGCTGTGTGCAATTGGCTGCCGCGTTCGCCCACAAATATACAGTCAATTCACTTTACAGTGTGTTCTGTGAAGCGCTTTGGGACGTCCTCCCGACGAGAAAACCGCTATATCAAATGCAAGGATTATTATTATTTTTTAAATAATGCCACAAAATATATATTTTGACTCAGAAGAAAGCCAAAGATGTAAACCGACAATAGATGAGAGTCTCCAAGCAGCTCACTTACTACATTGTGTTCCAAATGTGACATTAGTTGGTATATAACAATAAAAAGAGACTCCATTTTTTGTTAGAAAAAAACATGACATGTTTCTGTATACCCAACTGTTTGAAATTAAGCCTGCATCTATAAAGTTGCCTGTCTTTTTCCCCTTCCTCTATGGACTTCTTCTAAGATTTATTTTTGTGGGCTCTAACTCCTCCAGGGGGACTTGCCCAAGAGACCGCTCTTCACGTGTGAGTGTCGGCTAGCTATTCAACCACAAACACAAGGGAGATAGAATCACAGCTGAGCCTGACCCTGCTCTCACCCAACTTTGAGTGCTTTGGGACGTGCTCCCAATGTGAAAGGCACTATGTAACTATCAATTTGTATTGTATGTACAATCGTGTAAACTGTCTATCAAGGCTAACAATCGGGACATGAAATCTTGGATGGTTTTCATTAGACTAAGACCAATAATTTCATCCTAAATATTGCTCCAACTGAAATCACGTAATTCACCACAGCCTGAGAATCAAACTTTCAATTATTCGGTTTGCTTGGCTTGGGCTGCACTAAAGGCAGCAGGACTTTCCCCAATAGAACAATCAGAGCGCCCTCTCTGGATTACAGTATATTCATAGGGAATTCTATAATACAACACACACAACAAAGCACAACACACGTAATACTTAAATCATTAGGCTCTGAAAGGATTGGTCATCTGTTAGAAGTCTTTGATGAGGTGTCACAGCAAATGAATGCTGCTTTAGAAGGCTTTTAACAAAATGCAGTTGGACATGTTAGAGGGAAACAGCCAGCTAATGCAACCATATGTTGTCAAACATGTCACCCTGGAGCCAGATCAGCTCTAAGGAGACTCCTTCAAGCTGAACTGGCTCCAAGGTGATATGTTTGGCAACGGAATGTCGGAATTGAGCCAACCCTCTGTGGTTGTCTCTGTGGTCCAGTTCCTGAGCCAGGCAGGTCCACATTACTCCAGGGCACTGCTGATGACAGTACGGCCAGGCTGGTTCATTATCAGGACTTGGAAGGGCAGACAGTCATTGGGGGGCATGGACTCTTCCCACTCAGCTCCCATTATCCCACAAGCCAAAGCCCTAATAGGTGGGATGGACCTAGCTGGTCAAATAGCAGAAAAGGTATTGATTTTTAGCAGTATCCCAACTCACACTCTGGGGTCTCTAAACCTTGGCTCTTGCCAACCACCATTTATCACTTCCCAGAATTAGGTAAGCAGGATGCATTCCTCCAGAGAGAAAGTGTGCATTCTATTCTAACAAATTTCTCTGGAAATTCCATGTAAAGGTCGGATGCTTGTAATTCTGTTTGGTTTGGACACTCTTAAGCATGGTGATGGGGGTCCACATGTATCAGACACCTGGCTGTCCAAAAAAAGGCTTTGGAGGGGGGAAAAACAGTAACCAAATGCTGTCAGAAATAGAATAGGAGGTGAGGTTTCTTTGCTGTGGCTAGGAAGATATGTGTTGGTGGGGCGGGTGGGGAATGTCGAGTGAAGGTTGAATACCGCATTAAAGAATGCAGGAGAATCTGGAAATTCCTGGATTGTCTTGTGCATTAAGGGTGTATTTATGTAGACCTTCATGTGGTAAATTTACCTGGTATGCAAAAGAAGTGGGTTGGACATGAAACATTTTGTTTTATGTTCTTGTTCCTGGTAAAGTGCAAAAGTTGGCAGATCCTCTCCTTGCTACAATCTAATTGAATTTCCCAGACCATAGCATTTATTACCGAATGTCATCTGAATGTCAATTGCACGCTTTACGATTAAGCATTTATCTCTCCTGAAAGGAGAAGATGGGTGTGAACCTGATGAGCCACAGTGCAGTCCTGATTTATACTTTTATTGCTGATGATGAACTGATGTAAATCAAGAGTGACAAATTCACAAGTGAATTGCAAAAGTGATCCTGAACAATGAGTTAGAGATTAACGTTTCACTGCGAGCAGCTACATTTGCAATTTATATCTTGAATTTCATTTTAAACTGATTTAATAATAATCCTTAAATTTGATATAGCATTTTTCATGTCAGAAGGACATCTCAAAGCGCTTCATAGAAGTTTCCTATAAAATGTAGTAATTGCATATTTTTATTTGTTCGTGAACACAGCAGCCAATTTGCATAGAACATCACCCCACGAACAGCCGTGAAGTGAATGACTGTTTTTTTTTATTTGGGGAATTATTGATCTGGAGACCAGGAGAAATTCCTTGGAATTGAATGATGAGACTTAACTTGCCTTGAAAAGGATTTCAGTAAAGCTAGTTTGAGTTCTCCAAGCATCAGATCTCTGCTAGCACCAGCAGATGTTGGAGAAATACCTGAAATGCTTGCAGCGATGTGATCTACCTCCTTGGTCTTCTATCATTCATGATAGAAGTAAACCTGTTTCAAAAACAAGACTAGACAGTGCACAGTGTTTAGCTGAAGGTTGATCCTGTTACTTCTGCTGTATTATCACAAACTTATCCCAAGGGCGGTTTGATTTTCTGCAGCTAATACAACAGTTTTTAACCACACTCAGTGAACATTTACCTGCCCATAAATTAATGCTCTTTAAAGTTTCTTCAGCGTTTGCCATTTTGTGACTTTGTTAGCAGAAATTAAGGCAAACTTTTGTAAACAATGATCTTTAAGGAAAACTTCAATGAGTATTGAATCATATTAGATTGTGCATCGTAGATTGTACCTATCCTTGTCTATCAATGGTGATCTCCCACCAAGCAATCTGAGTGCACCATTGTGTGCTTGTTCTTGCATGCTGTGAATGAGGTATGATGTCTTCTAAGAGCTTATTTACATGTCAAGATCAGAGGCAAGCATATCTTACGATAACCGACAAGCGATTCTGCTCCTTTCAGACAAGCAGCCACCTACTCTCTGTGGCCTGATAAGATCTTAAGTCATCAGTCGGAAATTCGCATCATGCAAATTTCCTTCCGAAGACATTTCAGCAACAGTCGTGCAAGAGGTTACATGTTGGCTGCCCAGGATGAGCTGAGTAGAAATATTTGGCTGTATGTGGAATTGGAGAAACTATGGGATATCAAAAAAGGGGAACATGCCAATCGTCTAACAGCATGGGGACATTACAGAGAAAGAAAAACATTCAGTGAGTTTGTGTTCACTTGTGGTCTAAAACCTTTCTATGCAATCTAAACCCAAATTGTTTGTGTTTCTGCTAGCACAAAGCTGTTTGAGACAATGTGTTCTGATCCCCTGATAACTGTTGTTGCTTTGAAGAATGTATGTTATTCTATTTTTAATATGATAAATGCTTACTTTTTCTTTATTTGAATACTGCTACATTCTCTTTTAACAAAATATGTGTTAGATCGTTAATAAATGTATGGTCATTTACATCTTGATCATTTATTCAGTGTAGGTTATGTGCAATATATCAGACTAAATACTCTTAACTGTTTTAACTCAATATACTTCTGCAAAAGTTAGTGGTGCATATTAACGAGTTCTGCCTATAAAGTAAAAACATCAGAGGAATATTTTCAGTACTCTTAAGAGTGTAGGTGGCCGCGTGGAATGCGATCAGTTTTAAAATCCATTGCAAACATGTGCAGGGAATAATAGTTTACCCTTCTCTCCCCTTCTGGTTATTTTCCTATTTTCAGATGCTGGGCTACTGTTGCTATACTATGTGTGGGAGAGGACAGGTGGACAAACCATCCCCAAATACTAAAGACTGGAGTTATTTTTAAAACTGTGGCAGCCTCAGTCATTTCCCTCGGAATGTTTGAGATGCTAACTGTTTAAAGATTTTTGTGTTTTTCATTTTTAAATCAAAATTTGACAAATGCTTTCAGTTGCTTTAATAGTTACCGGTATCTCAGCAAATTGTTCCAACTGTTGAACTATTGCAATTATTTAAAAAAAGGAACAATCATTAAGTCTACCTGGTTTAAACCATTGGTACTTCCACCATTACTAAGATCAGTTAACAGGCAACCCGTGTATCCTGCGATTTTCGTGTCTTCTCTCACAGTGCTGAGGACTTAAGCAATGATAGCAATGAACTATACATTTTACATTTATACAGCGCCTTTCACATTGCGAGGACCCTCAAAACAATTAATGTATTATAATCCCGGAATTAAAGCATTAAATTTAGTATTGCAAAAAAATGTAATTTCAATGAGGAACTTGCATATCAGTTACGTGTTTTCTATTAATAATAATAGTGAAGTTCGTGGATGGCATGAAATTGTTGCTTTCACAATATTAACCAGATTTACAGTACAGTAGAATTCTGCAAAAATACAAAGGCTTTTTCCTTTCAGAAGCACACCAGCAATGCAAGCGCACTTGATTTTAACAAGTGGGTTTCTGGTACACTTGTGAGGTTACTATCACATTATGTACTTGATTTTGTGCAACTGTCATTGTAAGCTTTTCAAAATTGAGCTCTTTCCTTTTGAAGCTGTGCATTTTTCCCCAAATTCTACAGAAACAGTCTTGGCCCTAGTTCAGTGAAATTTCTTCATAGTAATGTTAAATACCTGCAGCAGAACTTGAATTCTGGAGTCCCACAACTGTGAGAGTCAAAAACTAAAAATGGAGAACATTTTTTTGAGAAATTAGTGCAAAAGACGTGGAGTTAAAGGACAGGGAACTGATAAATGGTTTGTTTGTTGGGATTCCAAGTACTACAAAAGGAGACTCTTTCCAGTAATTGAAAGTACGTAATGTTGACCATTCGCTCAGTGTCTGGATGGCACTGGAGTGGATGTCTATGTGGTCCGTTCCTGCGGGTTTTAATAGGAATTCTCAGGAAAATACTACAAATCAGCCCCCCCCTATCTCACGCCTTCCTACCAGGGCCTGATGAGGTACAAAACAACCCGTTCTTGGAAATGAAAGAAATGAGTGTAAATACGTGTGCACCCTGGCTCAGTGGTAGCACTCTTTCCTCTTAGACAGAAGGTTGTGGGTTGAAGCTCCACATTAGGACTTGGAACTCCTGTAGCCTAAGCTTACACTCCAATGCAGTGCTGGGGTTGTGTTACATTGTTGTGCTTCAAATGAGAAGTTAAACTGAAGCCCTCTCCACCTGTTCAGATGGACCTTAAAGATCCCATGACACTACTTGGAAAAATAAAGGGAATTTTTCCCAGTGTCCTTGTCAACAATCTCCCAGATAAAATTGATCATTCACTTCATGGCTATTTGTGGGATATTGCTGTAAATTGGCCCAGAAAACGCACTGTCAGTCTTTACAGCATATTCTGTGAAGCATCCGTTGAATATCCTCCCAAAGTAAAAGGCATTATACCAAATACAAGGATGATTGTTATTATGATACTTGAAGTTTGAAATAATAAAATTGAGCAATCAGTGTTTGAAAGAGAAAGGCAAGTTTAAGGTTTGGATAGGACTTCTCCCCCACATCTTCGTTATTTTTTAAAATTTGAATGCAGCATTTAAACCGAGAATTTGGGCCATGGTTTCAAATTTTAGCACTATGGGTGAATCAGATAGAGATCACCAGTGATCAACAAGCCCATTGCTGTGTAAAAAGACACAAAGTACACATACAGTATACTGTGTTTGTCCTTTGGTTGGTCCCAATGATTTGCAATAGCAATATGGCAAGGCTCTGAGAAGTGGTAAGCCTCAGCCACAGGCTCATCCAGCTTGATTTGGATTTGTTTAGGCAACCACAATGAGTTAAAATTATGCATAAGCAAAATTAAGCTCCAAGGGTTTAAGGACATGGTAGGCAGTCTGATGCTAGGCTTACTGAGAAAGCATGCTTCTACAGCCATAAGATGGATGGTACATAATTAATCTATGTGACTTATAAGGCTGGATCCAAAGATTTAAAAATTGTCACGGTCTAACCAAATAAATTATAATGGAACTGCAAGTGCCAACAAAACTGCAGCTACCCTTTGACACATTGATCAGAAGGAACCTCAGTTCGAAGGGAGATCAGGAAATATTTCTTCACACAGACACTGTGAAAATGAAGAATGCACAAATTTGCCCTAGCAGGTTGTGACAGCAGAATGAATGCTGTAATAAAGAAATAGATAGATACTTGGCAAGTAAGAGTATTAAAAAGGATGGAGAAAAGGGGAGAGAAATTGGATTATAAAATGGTCCTCCCAGAACCATAGAAATCGTGTCAGTGCTGGCTCTTTTTAAGGCAATTGTCTTGTTCTCTCTTGACGGTTAATATGGATTCTGCCACTCAACCACTGCTCTCAAAGGGCATTATATATCCCAACTACACTGTGTGTGAAAAAAAATTCTCTTAACCTTCCCATTTGCTTTCTTACTATCTTAAATTGAAGTCATCTAGTTATTGACTCAGTGGGGAATCCTGTCCCTATATTCCTTGGAATTTTTGAGGAATATGAGGAGTCTCAATCGTCACTGGGAACCTTGATTCAGAAATGTACAGGGCAAATGAAAGTCATGGATAACTGCAGATCTGATCTCATGCCTTCAGAACACCCGTTCCCCGAACTATTTTTTAGTAATTTTAACACTTAGTTATACAATGTTATACCTCGTATTTGTTCAGTCTGAGCAACAAAAGCAGCAGCAACAGGCTGAAAAGCGCAGCAGAGTTCAAACACTGGTGACAGGTCTGTCTGTGATCACCAGTTCTGTCTGCAGAAGTGTTCAGTGCTCAGAGCTATCAATCAATCACTCTGAGCCTGGTACAGCAGCCTGATGAAAACAAACATTACATCGCTCTTACAACTGATGGATGCTGGCATCATCCAAATATTTAAATGTTTCAACAAAAAATAACTTTATCAGCACTTTATTGCCTGAGCAGAAGACATCCAGGAACATGCTTGCTCCTGGTAGTTTTAGATGCTGATATCATGATCTTCTACCAACTGTAGAGCAAACACAGAGCAATGCAGAAGCCAGCAGTGATACTGCCCTTGATGCAGCAAGGCAACATATAGCTTACAGACAAGTGTGTTAAGACATCCTTTCCTCTTAACATGCAATGATATATGTGGTCTCAGAGTTTACAGTGTGACACTTCATTACTAAATGACTTCTAGAAAGAACAGGCTTTCATTTATGTAGCATCTTAAGTCAAAAGGTCTCAACGATCTTCAGATTATTATTATAAACATGCTGTTTTGGGCCAGGAAATACATTATTGTTTTGGCAGCAAGCATGGCAGCCATTCGACCCTCAGTGATCCATCCCATAAACAGGCATGAGGTGAATATTTCTGGACAGTTGTTTGCTATTTTATTTTATTATTATTTTATTCGTTGTTTCCCGACGTGAAGGGCGCTATACAAATGGAATCTTTTTGTTGGTTGTTGTTGTTGATAGGACACTGGAAGAAACTCCATTCTATTTTTGAATAGTGACTTGAGCTCTTGAAAGCTTCGCCAGTACTGTTCAGCTACTGAGTGTCACCCTGGCTGTGGGCTTGAATCTCAATTTGGGGCTTGAGCCCTTCTAGTCCTGGGTCAAGAATGCCATACACTGAGCCCAAATTATAATCTCTTATATATTGAACTACACCCTTATCTGACCACAGTCAGTACACAGAATTAGACTATCCCTCTGCACCATCTCTGCAGTCACTTTATAATCCCCTAATATTCTGGTAACAGAGTTAACAATGCAGATATATGGATGATTCATCCCCCCACCCTTCACACTCTCTTTTACCCTTCTTTAAGTCGTCTCTTTGCTCTGTCCTCCCCCATCCTTTCTCTCTCCCCCCCCCCCCCCCCAGTGGAACACACAGAGAGCTGGATTTGAATGCTCTCATCTTATAAATAAATACAAGACTCCTTTGCAAACCAACGTAAACCCATTTAAGAGGGTGCACTTGCAATTTTGAAAAAGATTCTTTTATGGGAGAGAGTGCTTTACTAACAACTTTCGAGAATGAATCTCGAACGTTTTAGCAGTTGGTGACAGACATAGTCAACTTTAATAAACAGGTCCCAGTTGCCTGGACAAATATAGCACCTTCTGAATACAAGCTTCCCCAGTCAACCGAGCGGACAGCGATTGGCATCAGAGAAATGAAATGTAAAAGCAACCTCCAAGCAGTGCTATTACCATGCACCAATTGGGGAATTCTGGAGGCGGGTTTTGTCTGAGTTGAGATTAAAGGAATTGCAAGTGGTTCAAAGCTGTCAGTGAGTCCCACAAGTGTCTCTCTCTCCCTCCTTCCACTGAGACCTTGAGATAAGTGAAAGTAATTGTGAAACTCACGGTTCAATTCACACCAGAAGCCGCCTTGCCTGTGTTAAACGGATAAAGTTAAATTAGACTTGTGAAATTCTTTGTTAAGTGTCTGGTATGGGGAGGGAAAGAGATCTCCCCTCTGAAACAAAAATTCTGCCACCAAATAATTCAACTATTTTTTGCTCTTACTGCATGTTGCATTTTTTCCTTGCATTTTTTTTTGATATAGCGCTTTTCACGTCGGGAGGACGTCCCAAAGCGCTTCACAGAACACACTGTAAAGTGAATTGACTATATTTGTGGGCGAACGCGGCAGCCAATTGCGCACAGCAATGTCCCACAAACAGTCGTAGATTAAAAATGACCAATTTTATTGTTGTTTTTTTTTGGTTTTGGAGGGATTATTATTAGGCGTGTGGAGTAAGGAAACTTGCCCAAGATTTCACCCTGCCTGGAATTGAACTCAGGTCTCTCGCTTGCAAAGCGAGTGCTCTAACCACTGAGCTACAGGACTCCAATGTTGACCTTTTGTTAGGAAAAAAAACAGATAATACTGAACCGGTGAAACATAAACACGAGAGAATCCATACAGGGACAACCAACAAATTGCATTTCTATAGTGCCGTTCATGTCAGGAGGACCATTTAATATTAGACTACAAATAATTCAGTGTGAGATTCAATTCCGAACGATCTTGTACAGCATTGCTTTGCATTTCTAAAAGCACCAGAAATTAGTTAACTATTCTATGCCTATCATAATGGAGCATGTGTGGGTTTAGTGTCTGCTACATGACTACACGTGCTGTGGCTCTCAGTTGCAGCAGTCAGTGTTCCAAGGTAAGTTGCTTTGAAACAACAGGTCTGTGTTCACATGGTACAGTGAACTTTTTCCCCCCTTGTGTTTAAATTTGCATATGAACTGCAGCCTCTACAGATAGAGAGAGAGAGAGAGTGTTAAGTGCTTCAGTTGCCAAAGGGAGGTTGACGGCTTCTACCAGTCCAGCCGGAGAGGGAGAGGGAGAGGGTGTTTCTCTTTTTATCCTCCACGCTCTGTGTCTGACTGTACACACATGTGAGATTCAGCTGAGCAATTTGACGCTTTTCCAACTGCTGCTGTTCATCTTTCAGGAACTCCCGACCAGGATGCACAAACCCTAACATTGCGACTGTACCTCGCCAGAGAGGCTACGGTGTGTCCAGCCTAAGCCCTGCTCAGATCACCCGGGTCAAAGTGATGATGTCCCTGGGACAACTAGCCAAAGGAGCCAGCATGGATGACCTACTTGAAACCTGCATTCAGTCATTTGGTAAGATTTACTTTCAGTTCCTCTTAAAAGAGTGTGTCTATTTCTTGATGTGAGTGTTGTTTGAGTTAAGTGGTCTTTTTTTTTCCCCCCCTCCCCTTGACTTCAGCTCTTCGTTTAATCATTTTACGATGAAATTATCCATTTGTAAATGAAGGGTTATATCTGTGTGTCAGGATTTGAGAATGAGCCGTGTGTTTTAGCAGATTTAATTTCAGTCTGTAAATGAGTTGTCCGTCACAAAACGTTATATATTGACCCACTAATTGGTGCTAAAATATTTTTTAAAAAATAAGAGATCTGTTGATTGCTGGAAATGTGAAACAATGTTGGGTATTTATAGGAGCTTAACCAGTACCTGAATTAGTCAGATAAGAGGTACATTAACCTACAGCATTCTCTTTTAGACAATATTGATCCATCTCCTGTGTGAATTACTAGTATTATGATTCTTACATTGAATTGTGTTATCTATGGTCGAACAGTTCAGAATATACCGTATAATCATTTGATATGGGATGTTTTTAAGTTGTATTATTGTAAACAACTTTAAAACAATAACACAGCCGTAGCATACTATTGCACCGTAATTTGGGCAATTTCGTCTTGCAGGGAATATTTAAATTGCACAAATATATTAAACAAGCAATACAGACAGAATATGAATTCCCTTTCCATTCAGAAATCAAATACTGTGTGTCTATTCACAGTATACTAGAAAAGAAAATCTCTCTCAAGGTTATTCTCTCGCTTCGAGAGAATAGAAATGAAGTTCTATAGAATAGCTTGAAAATGCAATTCCTGTTTTCAAGGTACAGAAGTTACTGAAAACTCAAGGCACTAATTAATTCCAACAATTATTGACAGAGCTGTTTGTTTAGTGACAGGCGTTTGCGGTCTGAAAGAATTCCGAATTTAATCCACATTTAATTCACTGGTCTTTTAAGATTGTATGCGTCAAGTTCATAAGGCATGTCTATCAGACAGAAACCAGTGTACCACTCACCTACTGATCCAGTATTTTGGGAGCACTGAACCCTTTTCACATAACTTCCAGAGTTAATCAATCAGCATAATTTCCAAGGTGTAATAGATTCAGACCACTTCCTGTTTCGTGTCAAGGTTAATGCGAGTTAGTCCCAAATAAATTAATATTTAAACAATACTTGCGCAAATGCTCTTGTCTGTAGGATTACTGCAGTGAGCTGTGAACAAGAAATTCACTACTAGATTTAAGTTTGGTAGAAATGATGTTTACAATCTTCTGTGTAAATAGCCTATGTGTGATGATGTTGATAATGTCAAATTTCTGGCAAAGATAAATGATCACATCTAATTCATTAACATTTCTATCCTTGGGATGTACACCATGTGTTGTGACTATTGCCTTCCAGACATTTAAATTATTTCCTATTTGGTGACATATGGAACTACTGTCTCTATTTCCCATACCTATAATGTTTCACTTTGCTGCAGTAGCAAAATGAGGCTTGTTATTATGCCTGTGGAATGAACAAGGAAGTCAGATTTGAACATCTTAAAGTTAGAAATGTACCAAAAATGTCATAATTTTATGGGTGTTTTGAGCTAGAGATGATAGTGCTGTCTTTGTTGTAGGGAATATTCGTGAAATGTCTGTTAATTATGTATACTGCACTCAAAAGATAGTGATTTGTTACATTATATTTAAGTTCTGTAATCTTTTAACAGGTTAACAATACCACTTAGCATATCTGATTCTGATTCTACAATTGTTCAATTGAGCTTTTTAAAACCACAATTATTGTCGAACAATAATGTCATGATATATCAAATGTCATTAAGGCAAAAGTCGCCATACTGATTAAAAGTATTTTATACATAAGTTATGTCACATAATGGTGTTCAGTTGGTATCAGCAATAAGAATATATACAGTGGCTCCATACATCCCCTTTGACCTTTCGATCTTCCATTAACCCTTCCACACACACACACCAACAACAACTTGCATTTATATAGTGCCCTTCACATGGGATAGCACACATTCCCTTAAGACACAGACTGGACGTGCAAACAATATCTACCCGTCTGCTTTTGAATTGTCCACTAGGACATGCACAAGAATATTGGTTGCTCAAGTTCCAGTTTTCTTCTCTGATCCCTTTCTCCAAACTGAAATTAGGAGTTTGACTTTAAGACACTCACCCTTAGCTTCAAATGTCTCCCTGGCCTTAACCTCCCCTGCTTCTCAGATTTCCTTCAATTCTACTTGCCTAACTATCGCGTTCGCCCACAAATTTACAGTCAATTCACTTTGCAGTGTGTTCTGTGAAGCGCTTTGGGACGTCCTTCCGACGTGAAAAGCGTTATATCAAATGCAAGGATTATTAAGGATTATTATTATCCGTTTCCTTCGCCAACTCTGACTTACTTTATGTTCCTCTATCCATTGGCATGCAAGCTTTCAGACACCTTGCCCCCACTCTCTGGACATCTCTCCTGAAATCCCTCTACCTCACTGCTTCCTGTCTGCTTTAACCCTGTCCAAAAACCTATTAATTTGCACCTTCGGACATCTTTTCCCTCCAGCCCCAAACTCCCTTGCAGCTCAGGCTAAAAACTTTAATCTCACTAGTAGCAATGCACATGGGTGAAATGGAAAAACACACACAGGGGAAACAGAAACGGGGATGTTCTTTGGGTACCTAATATTACATTGGTCCTATCTGTAGTATAAATGGGACATTTTCATGAAGCTGAAAGTGGGCAGCTTCGAATGCGGAACTTTGATTACAGCTCCAGGAATAACCTGAGCAGATCTGGCTTTCAAAGGTTTGGATGTTCTCCTGTGCGAGTCACCAACATTTAGGTTATGGTTGTGAACCAGGTAAATTATATCTCTGATCAGATACAGAGTGGAACCTCAGCTGTTACAAATCGTATTACAAACTCGTTGCTATACACATCCTTTCCATCTGCACACATAGTCTTTCAGGGATTGCATCATTTCATCTATATATACACATCCGCGTACAGTATCATGATGCAAAACTGCACTAATATTCCTGGAGCAGCTGACTGTAGCAATTACTTGTGATATTATTTTCATCTCTTGAGAGGTTACTTACTGATAAATATTACACTCATTTTCCATCTCTTTCCTATTTGGCCAGGACTGTTCTACCTACACACACAGAATTACCTGAAAATGTAAAGAATACGTTGTATTATTACGTTGTGTTATGTATTCGACAATGTTTGAGTTGCTGACTAAAATAGCCCAGCTGGGATTCTATTTCTCTGTCAGGGATAAAAGATGCATGTCTTTTTTAAGAAGCATTAATACTCTTTTCAAAATGCTTGTCAGAATTTCCAATTAGAAAACAGAATTTCTAGCTGCCGAGATGTAAAATACTTATTCTTTTGCAGTGACTGATAGTGTCCTTTGTCACATCTTTGGTTTGCTCAGAGCACGCTAATGTAGCTGCTCTTAAATTTGTGGTATCTGCATTATTGTATTTCAAACAACCACTCTCTTTTGCCAGCTCTTCCTCATTCTGTGGCCCTCCCCACAGTGCTCTCCTATGCAGTGTCCAGCACATTTATACTGCAGAGTTCTGCAGAATTGCTTCAAACACGAGCCGCCATTTCAAAGTCAGTAACAGAATATTTTCTGTTTCTGCGGGTAAGGTCCATGCAGTTCTGAAATACTCACATCATATCCACATCAGTCATGTTTCTAGCTTATCATTCCATCCCTTCCAGATGTCGGTTTTGTTTTACCTGTTCTCAGTATCAGGTCTTGTTTTATTTTTACACTCCATTCAATTAATACACAGTAAATCAAAATCAGCTTTAAGACAATCCATGATTTATTGCTGCACAACGCACCTGAATGGAGCTTTCCTCTTTATGACACAATTTTATTTCAGTTTAAACAAAGGCTTTTATTAAAGAATAAGCCATGCTTGTATCTTTTTTTAATAACAATCAAAAAACTTAACAGACTTTGGCACAAGTTCTCCCAAATCCTGGATGAGATGGATTTGAAGCAGGCAGTACAAATTGTGGTTCCCTGCTCCGAATAGCTCTACTATTGGAATCAATGTCACTTTACTTCCCCAGTATATTAAAAAAAGGTCATAAGAAAGAGTAAAAGGTTTTACAATCTTTTGTAAAAGGATCGACTTCAAGATCCTCACACTTGTGTTCAGGTGTTGTGGGTTGGGAATTAGCAGATTGAATAGTATCCTAAAGGAGTATCATTTAACGTTCACTTGCATGCGCAAATACTCATCCGAAGAATAGCACCTCCAACTTTGCAGTACTCCCCCAGCACTGCACTTGAGTCTCATCCTAGTCTATGGGTTCCAGTCCTGATGTGAGACTTGAATCCAAAACCTTCTGACTCAGAGACGAGAGTGCTACCAAGTTGGAGGTGTTGTTCTTTGGATGAGGCAGGAAACCTAGTATTCGTTAGTGCAAGTGAACATAAAATGATATGATTCCTCTAGGATACTATTCAATCTGCTCATTCCCAAACTCACATCACACAAGCATGGCAAAAACAACTTAGACAACGAAGATGTAGCACATCAAGCAAGTCTATTCAGATTCAATATTATTATCTAGGAAAGCTCTATTCAGGTGCATTGTGCAGTTTACAGTGAATCCTTCACAGTGAGCGCCTTGGGACGTCCTCCAGACATGAAAGGCCCTATTCAAATGTAATGTTGTATTAAAGATCCCTATTTGAAAAGACAAGGGTGTTCCAATTGTCCAATCAACAATCCCTCAGATAAAATTGGTCATTCACTTCATTTGTGGGACATTGCTATATGCAAATTGGCTACCAAGTTTACCTACAAATACATAGTCACTACAGTTTACAGTAAATATTGTGAAGGGCATTGGGATATTTCGACAACCTAATAAGGTGCTATATCAAATAAAAGGATTATTATTATGAACTCACAGCTCACAAGATTTCTGTGATACAGAGAGCCAAGTAATCACACTCCT